TATTTAGTTGTGACCATTCAGTGTAGATATATATATACTAGGGGGAGTACCCGTCCCCTGATTAGTGAAATGTTATCTTAGGATATGAAAAGTTGCTTCCCTTATATGTAATTGTAAAAAAAACGCCCATAAAAACTGAAGAAATGCAAAAGTGAATATTTGTATGTACCCCCGCATGGACCCAATGAAGCTCCATACCAAATTTGGTGAAGATCCATCCACAACCTGCGAAGTAGTTACATGGACATACAACAGACAGTACTATTATATTTATATAGATAACATACAACAGGCAGCACTGTTATATTTATATGGATAACATACAACAGACAGCACTGTTATATTTATATGGATAACATACAACAGACAGCACTGTTATATTTATATGGATAACATACAACAGACAGCACTGTTATATTTATATGGATAACATACAACAGACAGCACTGTTATATTTATATGGATAACATACAACAGACAGCACTGTTATATTTATATGGATAACATACAACAGACAGCACTGTTATATTTATATGGATAACATACAACAGACAGTACTGTTATATTTATATATATACATACAACAGACAGTACTGTTATATTTATATATATACATACAACTGACAGTACTGTTATATTTGTATGGATATAATGAGTTATCAGTACTGCCAAGTGGAACTAAAGGAACAATAATACTGTTACGTCTCCGATTGTTAATTAACTTTCCGTAACTTCGTTCCGACGAAACTTTAACGACACAAGTCCTTTCTTAATAAAACTGGTTTATTATTTCCGAATATAACTCTGCGATACACTTAATCTCAGTACTCGCGCTAAAACAAATACTATAACGAACGAACGTTAACTTCAACAATACCCCGTGACTGCAGTTCAATTACTCACTGTCTACACACACATTACATTACATTACCTTTCTTTTATATACCAGCCTACCCTATATCTAGTAAGAACTAGAACATTCGCCAAAGTACACGATAGTTCTAGAAACGTTGCGTCACAGTAGTCATGTGACTCGATGACGCAACAATACTGTAATTCGTGTATTTTGCATCTTATTAGAGTGACCGTGTAGTGGCTGATGTTTGGACTTGCAGAAGACAAACGTTAGTTGTTTGTACGTAAGCAATGTATCGCTATAGACTATAGAGGTATACAAGGGTCATATATTGTAAATATGACCTGTATATAAGGAATCATATGTTGAACGTTATGTTTAAATAACCTGGAAATATGTGACTTTTATAGCTCTACAAACTATTGAATAACACACATTTTATCATTGGTAATTTAAAATTAAGTAAAGTTTTCGTAAAAGAAACGAACGCAGACTATAGAGGGTTGTTTACATGGCAGGCCACGTCAGTATACGCTCCCTGTTTTGGGAGGAGAAGTGGGGGAGGGAGGGTCTGAGGACTAACTTGTCCCGGGTGTCTCAAAATTCTTGGCTACGGCTCTACCTAAAACAGAACTTACAATGTTAAAGCTGAACCGGTTGTTAATTTTAGGTAAAGGAGAAATATTATTTTTGGTTTTTGTGATGATTTTGATATTTTGTTTATATCGTTGTAAGTCCGCAGACATACCGCTATGCTCCTGTAAAAGGGGGGGGGGCATGAATAAGGAGCTGTACTCACAAAAATGTTTGTTTTAAGCACAAAGCTACACAATAGACTACCTTTTCTCAGCCCACCGCAGGTCTCGAAACCTGATTTTTACGGTTATAATCCCCCAGACTGAACCACGTAAAATGAAAATTACAATTTAATTACTTAAGCTCTTTTCGGTGACGTTTTTTTTTTTTTTAAGACTCTTTATTTACCATTATAGTTATGTGTGGTCGTTCGCTGGATCAACGGTAAGTTTATGGGCTTAAAAAGCTAAAATCCGGGGTCCGATATCCCACGATGGACAGAGCGTAGATAGTCCACCGTGCAGCTCAGCGCTAAAAAAATCCGACAACAACGTAATGATGTGTGTTTCATAGACGGTGATCGAGCACCGAATTAGACACTTCCAAGTTGTTCCCCATTTTTGTCTACGGTCTTCCTTATAAGGTAACTTACCCGCTCACTCAAGGGCTGCGTTTTTTAGTCTCCACCACACCATGCCAAAATAAGAATATTTCGATCAGCAGGGGGGAGAACAAAAGCGTACTGGAGGGATAAAAATGGCGAATAATGAAAACTCAACTCAATGTGACAGCGGTGATGGATTATTTATTTATTTGTGGATAAGAACTGTTGCCCATTCTACTACATTATTGCCACCATCTTTAGATCTTCCTACTTGACGGATTACAACAATACATAAAAAACTAAGAATATTTTAGGTAAATTGTTGACTGATCACAACAATACATAAAAAACTAGGAATATTTTAGGTAAATTGTTGACTGATCACAACAATCCATAAAAACTAAGAATATTTTAGGCAAATTGTTAATCTTCCATTGGTGGATTGGAGCTTGATAAACTTTATTAGTGTGTTTATGTACACAACAGTGATAATTAGTACGTTGGATATTTATTTCCCTTCACATTAATTGTACCGATACATGACAGTGGGCGTCGCCATATTTCTTCTGAAGTCTGTACGGAAGTGACGACAGCGGAAAAGTTAATAACACAAACAGTAGACAGAAGAAGTATAGCCAAACAAAACAAAACAAGAAAAAAAAAACCACTGCGGATTCGAGTACCTCACTCATTCCGCGGGATTAAGGGCGTCGACCTTTAACAGAACAACTCATTAACAACTTTCAACAGGCATTGTTCGAAGCTGAACAGAAGGGATTTATCGTTACGAGTCCACAAGGTTCACCCATACAGGAAATCACCGTTATTTAGCTGCTCTATAACCCCCATAATTGATCCTTTCTGGCCACGTGGACTATAGAAATTGGGTTTCTGTTCCATAGCCAATCATTTTCAGGCACGTCGGAACGTACAAAACATTGGGGGCGTTATAAATGAATAAAAATTATGTGACAATTAATAAAAGCACTTTGATATACAACTACTGTATTGTACATACAAAACACAAATCAGATATAGAAGTGTCAATATACAGTGATGACACCTAGTTACAGTTTTAGAAGAAGAAAAAAAAATTAAATAATTAACTTTGTTCCGGTAGTTATGATTAAATTTTCACTCGGTATCGTGAAAACAAAAAGTGTGTGATGAATAAAAAAAAAAAAAAACGAATATTTTTTTCAGAACTTTCAAAGTCATCTGTATGTTTGGCACTCTTCCACAATTATCTGTCTGTTTAAATTCTTCTATAACGAGGGGTCAATTTATTAAGGGACTTCCTGACCACTCCTCCGTTTCGAAATTATGCCTGCTTGTTATTCGAGACCAGGAATTTGGGATTAGTTTTTGTGGTGGAAGAACGGCGCATTCTTTGAAAAACGGAGATTTATGATACGATGCTCGTTTCCACGCGCAGTGGTGGCTGCTCGAGGATTGGACCTCGCGTGTTTTTAATTTGAATATCGTGTTAATAACCAAGCGCTACTGTCGTGATTCTTTTTTATTGTTATAATAATATAAAACTCATTAATCTTCAAATTTCTTTTTATACACAAAGGTTAGCCCGTGCTAAAGTTGTTTTTAGTATTTTAATGTAAGCGTTTGTTAATAGGGGGCGAGTTTTTTTGTGGAATCTGGAACTTTCTTGAGAGTTTGAGAAATATAAGAAGATTGGATCGACTACAGAATTAACGAGTGTGTTAATAATTTTGGTTAGTTAATCCAGTTTTATAAATCGTGAGTTTGTGCTCCAACGAAAAACTAGAAATTTGAGAGAAAGTAGCAAGTAAGCGTTTGTTTTGAATTTCGCGCAAAACTACACGACGGCTATCTGCGCTAGCCGTCCCTAATTTAGCAGTGTAAGATTAGAGGGCTACTCTTTTACCAACAAATCGTGGGATTGACAGAAACATTATGACGCGTCCACGAGCATGTTTGGTGTGACGGGGATTCGAACCGACGACCCTCAGATTGCGAGTCGAGCGCTCTAACCACCTGGCCATGCCGGGCCTGCAAGTAAGTGAATAGCATTACTTGTAAAGTTAGGCCTATTGCTTGACAAATTTGTAGAACTGGAGGTAGAAGAAATAAACGTTTTCCTGTTTATTATTTTTTACCGAATAATCCAAAAAAACACAACCATCAATAGATACAAGCTTTGGGCTACTCTAAGCGACTATTTTTTAGAAAAAAAAGAATTGTTCGTTACTCATATAACGCATCTACAACCCCCAAATTGCTCAAAAATATCTTGCGGCAAAGAGACGAACCACGGACCCTCAATTCAGAGTGTGTGTGAACCACTAGGCCCTGGAGTAAGAGTATTTTAATTTTTATAGTATGGTTACGTGAAGTTATTTTTGTTAACTTAACAGAAATATGCCGCCTTCTGGATAAGAAGTTGTCACAGAATTAGGAATATTTAATTAGAAACTGACTCTGAAATTGTAGATTTTTTTTTTTTAGTATACACAGTGAACTCCGAAAAAATTGTTCACGGTACTCTCGCCATAACAGAGTTCGAAAAGCACGAGATAAACATTGCTCCACTTTAGTGACCTCTTTACGTAAACACGCATGCGCACTTCGTTATTCGTCCCGAGTGTTCCTTATCGGTTGGTGTAGGATGAATTGATTCAATTATTCTTACGCATGCTTTGGTTAGGGGACTCTTCTAACGTTGAAAGCAGATACTCAAAATTAGATGAGAGCGACTTTAAAAAAAAGTGAAAGCTTTTACAGACCCCCCCCCCCTCCCGTCACGTGATGCTTGTGCTCATTAACAGTTAAATTCATTCATTGATCATTAGAGAGAGTGAAAAAAAAATACAGATTCTTACAGAACTAGTGGAAGCGATACGCCCAAGTGATTGTATGGGAATTAGGCTTAACATCTGCACAAGTCATCCATGACAGTCTGATTAAAACTCACACGAGACTCAAAAATCACTAATGAAATATTTTAATGTACAATTTGTCCAGTTCACACTATAAAATAATGTTAACCAGCTGTGAAGGGGTTTATTACAAAATAGGGGCGGCTTTTACCACCCACTGAAATAATTCAATTGATATTTTTCACTTTCTCAATAATTCACTCGTAAGTTCATGGTCAACATACAGTTAAAAAAAAAAGAGAAACATAACAAATTAAGTAAAGAGTAAAACACAACTTGTTACTGCTGTGGACTCCCAACCAGAGTCAGGGGGGTGGGAGGGAGAAAAAAAACAACACTTCTACTCCGAACGGAACTAATTATTCTGCTATAATCAGTATAATTAAACTTCATAATATTATACGACAAGGTTTAACGACACCTGTCGTTAATAAACATTCAAAATTTGTACTGAATATTTTCAGTAATTTCAACATAGCACAACCAACGTATATATGGAAATCGTGGTTTTTTTTTTTAACACGGTATTTCTAATTGAGGGGGGGGGGTCTTACTTTAGCTTTCAAAATGAGGGTTAAAACTTCTTAATCCTTAATATGCATATTCCGGTAACACATAATTTTAATTATAGAAGAAATTAACATTTGGCACACCATTAGTTTTGTTTGTTTTCCAAATATATTATTAACGTGTAAATAACATTATCCAAACATGACTGAAAACCCATTACACTAAGAAACGAAGCAAAGAATAAAAACAAACTTTAAAATTTTGATTCGTGATGACAACAAATTGAGCAGCAGCATATATTAAATCGTTGCCATGGTAACGAAATATCGACAAAACTATGGACTCCACTTTTCGGAAAACGGCTAATTTTTCAGCGGCACAGTAACGTTAATATAACGTACTCAGCCCTCCCGTATTCCTAATCACTTACACAACCGACAAGCAATAGATTCTTACGAAACGACTTCCCACGATTACGTACTCTAGATACGTTAATAAAGTGGATCACAAAAACGCCCCATCTTAAAACAAACAGCAACTCGTACAACATAAAATATGGTTATCTCTATACTAACTACAACTCACGAAAAAAACGTACAGTTCTCAGATTCTAGGGTTACATTAGCTACAGAAATGGCCCCTTACTCAAATCACCTAGGCTACTTAAGAAACTTGTTCGATACAAAGAAATAAATTCGTAGATTTAAAATACGTCACTCAGATATTGACTTTCAATCTTTAGTAGTAGTAGTAGTAGTAGTAGTAGTATAAAAAAAAAAAAAACACCAACCCCTTTGGAAGAGAAATCCATAAAAATAAAAGCTCAGAATGTACATGTACAAAACTAGAATTGTGTAAACGCACGTGCCAGGATTTTCAAAACGAAGACCCACGAATCAAAGCAATCGAATAATAATGTTGAAGAATCTTATGAGACCCCCTCTCCATTCAGCCAGAAAACAGTTCCTTACATTTACAGGCAAATACGAATCAATTATAATCAAAATCAGTACGTTGAGGTCTTATTTATAAGAAGCATCTTACGTTTAATTTTGGGGGTAAAAATCTTCACGTAACACGCAAGAAACACGTGGTCAGTATCCAAGATATGATAAATTCGGACATGCAGGCCTCTGAAAGTTACTGACCATCTCAGATACATCTGTGACCCGCTATAACTACAAACACGTAAATAATTTGACCTTTGATAACTTTTCTCCTATTACGTCGTAATATAATATATATTCGTTCAAAGCACAGCCAATGGAGGGCGTACATGATTTGAAGACCAGCTTGACAAATCGCCACTGATGCCCTTCCATTACAGATGTTGGTCACAGAGTCACCTACAATATCCAAGATCTGGAACCCTAAGGAAAAAAAAATAAATACAAAAAAATAGTGAAGCTGTGTGAAAATACTATACGAAATAAAACTGTTTAATCATCAAATAACCGACTTGTTTATGTTTTGCATTTTTTAAAAATACAGTTTACTGCCGGTAGGGTATATACCTTTTATATATTTTTCCCCGATACCAAACAAAGGGTCAAATAAATTGCCCAAAGAAAAAAAAAAAATTGTGTGTACTCGCATACCTTCTACGTAAAAACCGCGAGAAATCCTAGCAGCAACAATTGAAATTACAAACTTTTTGCCATCTTAGTTAAAAATTTTGTGTATATGATTATTGTAATTATAGACCATGTAACTAACAAACTTAATCAAGTGGGGTATAAACATTGTCCAACCATCTATCGCAGACATTGTGAATATACAATGGAAAAAAAAAAAAAAAAAATTAATTACTTTAAATAGGCCTAAAATGAATTTGTAAAATATATTTAGTAAGTTATAAATAGGAATGTTACCTAGAAATAACATTGTTTAATTGAGAAACCAACAAAAATAATTTCATAATTTATTTAGACTGTTAGCTGGAAGTAAGAGCATTCATCTACTGAATTGAAGCATTTGTATAAGCATCGGGCAACAATGATAGAATTGTTGCCTGTACGTTACAGTGTGCATTAGACGGTTAAGGAGTTATTTATTATACAACAAATCTTTTTTTTTTCTCTAAAAAGTAGTATAGTTCGTACAGAAATGTTATTATTCAAGCACCTTCTGATAATAAGGGAGCAATTAAAAATTGACATATTCAGTTATTTCTGAACTTAATTTAATGTTGAAACCACTTCAACCTTACTTAGTAAATTATCTACCCATTCTTCCCCCCCCCCCCACAGAAGGTGTTTCAATTACTTGTAGCTTTTTCTTCTTCTGTTGCTTACGTCCAATGTGAAATAAGGCACACACACATACGTCTACACTTGATGTAAGAGTAGTCAAAACTTACCCGATCATCTTCAGGTTTTGGTGTCCACGTGGGTTGTACAAACGACATAGGTGTCCATGAACTTCAAGCCATCACATCCTTTGCGGCTATCACATTCTAAAGCAATAACCACCAACCTTAGTTCCATCACTTCACTATCTAGTTTACACCTGTGTTTCGAGGCTATTTTTTCCTCACTTCACTATCTAGTTTACACCAGGGTTTCGAGGCTGTTTTTTCCCTTACTCACCATCTAACTTACACCTGGGTTTCCAGACTGTTTTTCCCTCACTTCATCATCTAGTTTACCCCCCCCCCCCAGTTTCAAGCTCTTTTTCCCTTATTTCATCATCTAGTTTAAATCCTAGTTTCGAGGCTGTTTTCCCTTCATTTCACCATCTAGTTTATACCAGAGTTTCGAATTTGTTTTTCTCTCATTTCACTGTTCTCCCGCTTGCACACAACTTCAACAGAACTGTTACTAGAAAATCAAAATGTCCAACACTGTAACTCTAGGTAAGAATGATCCTAAAACTGTACTCAGATTAAAACAATAAATGTATCAGTTTCCTCCTACCTAAACTTAAGGTTGCCAATTCGAAAATACATTTCTAAATCTTACGATGCCCAATTACACTAATGTTAGTGCGAAGTTCCATAAATGTATTTATCATTAAAAAAATTATTAATGGTCTTCAATTACGTCATCAAATGACCTTTCCGACTTCGTGTTTAGAGTTACAAGTACGTCGTCCTTCAACTAGACTTGGAAATGGCGCCTATACTAGTAAAGCCCCCTCAGTTATGCTATACAGCGCCCCATATGGTGATTAGGACGGGATCACCAATATGGCCCTTCCGTTGGTAAGTGATTCCAGCTAGCGAAGGATGCCCAGGAACTGAAGTCTGCTGTCACAGCATCTACAAATTTTTCAAGTTTGGAGTGGTCTTCTGCCCTCTTTTTCCTAACGGTAAGAATCCTGTAATTGGCTCCTCCGTTATTATCCCAAAATTCAGAACTTTCACAACTGAAACACACACAAAACTCGATCGCTTCATATTTGTACGCTACGGAAGGAATAGACACGGAAAAAGAAAACGTATCAAAGAGTGACGTCATATCTCCAAGTCCGTTATTGACATAATTGGCGGGAAAGTCCTCGAAACTTGACCAACAGTTAAAAGTTACACGAACAAAAACGTCTTTCTTGAAACAGACGTTTTTAACTTTTATAGTGCCAGATATTTCTCGGTTCTTAATGATCACATTTTCAAGCGAAACGCGCTGCTGTTCTAGTTTGTTACGAAACTCCATGTATTCAGAAGCTGGTTGGGGGAAAGTAACCTCCCACCGATTCTCGATCTCCTCCTCCTCCTCCGTCTTTATACCTTGGGTTACTTGTGCTAAAAACTGGTCGGTCCAGCTAGGCGGACAGTCTGACGTTTCCTTCATTATCCGAACATGGGTCAAAGCAAGACCTTTGTCATCTGCGAAACAAACACGCTTCTCTCCTTTACAGGGCTTTGGATAGCGCTGTTTCTCGTGAGATACGTCATCTTCATCTCGTGCCGCAAGACAAGACCGAATAGGTGGCATCTCTGAGTATTGAGGGGCATTCCCAGAATAACTGATGACGTCACGGTAGGGATAGGTGCTGGCAGTACAGCGGTAATTGGTGAAGAAATCGTGAGGAAATATTGGCGAATTATCGGGTATGATCATCTCAAATTTAACGGACACACTCTGTGCAGGATATCGGAAAAATTGGAACGATGCTGGATTCTACTTTTTTTTTCTGCTTTCTATTTCTGGAACAAAAGAAAATTAATTATCAACCCAAGCACGGCGTGAGGTAAATTAGAAAAAAGCAGACGACCAACTACGATAAATAGCTTGTTACAAGTATCGTGTAATTTTTAATTTAAGTGGATTTAGTCTTGAAATCAAGAAAACTGTAGAAGTCTATAGAAAACTCAGTTCAAATAACAATACCTTATCACTTTTTTTTTTTGTATCAAAGTGAAAATATTTTGTTTATTATGGATTTTGCGCAAAGCTACACGAGGGCTATCTGCGTTAGCCGTCCCTAATTTAGCGGTGTAAGACTAGTGGGAAGGAAACTAGGCATCACCACCCACCGCAAACTCTTGGGCTACTCTTACGAATAGTGGGATTGATTACACATTATAAAGCCCCCACGGCTGAAAGGGTGAGCATGTTTGGTGTGACGGGGATTCGAACCCGCGACCCACAGATTGCGAGTCGAGCGCCCTAACCACCTGGCCCTTAAAATAAGACCCAAAGCCTGAGCGCTTTCGCTTACGCTCCATTTTTTCATCAATTCTGGTTGTCTCAGTGGGAAGCTGTACGAAATTTGAAAATGCAGAAAATCTATTTAGTTGACAATTACCATATCATAAAGACAATAGGAGAAAACGTCAAGCTTAAAGTTAAAAAATAAAATAAAAGTTATGACTTCGTGTGTTCAAAAGTCAAAGTTCACCTCAGTTAAAACTCGAACCCGCGACCCACAGATTGCGAGTCGAGCGCCCTAACCACCTGGACATATGAAAATAGAAAAAAAAAAATCCAAACAAACTTTTAAACGTTTATGAAGCTTAAAGCTTTTATCATAGCACAAAAATCATTATTTGAGATTTCTCCTCCAACAAAACAGATTTAAGTGCGTTATTATAAACTCGGAGAAGAAAAAACGTTATTTCTTCTAAGAACTCCTAACACTTAATGTTGTTTTTAGCTCCAAGTGTAAATAATACGTTTGTAATTTACAACCAACAGGCAAGGTTCAAAACACTAAATTTTGGACTTAGCTCCAAGCGTAAGTAATATGTTTCAAGTTGACAACTGATAATCAAGGTTCAAAACATTTGGTGTAGAGGTTAAAGAAACATCTGTGGATTGGTTTAGTATATGACAAATCACAAATTAACCAAAATCACCGTTAGGGTGCACAATTGATACACTAGACCAAATTGGTCATAGCAGCTTTGTGTAGTTTCTTGTTTCAATAATTAAAACGATTATTAGTTGTAATTATTATTGTAGAATTTTTAGCAACTCCTCTGGTGGAAGTTAATAAATACATATATTAAAAAAAATCGAGTTATTTTCTTCTCGTGTTCAATAATTAATATGAAATGTATTTGGCATCTATACCGAGTAGATCTACGAGATTCAAAATCGCGAAGTGACGAGATTTCGTGTATGTGAAGACGCAGACGACTACTCGTTCATCGATCAATAATCCAACAACGTGTCCCTAAATCCTGCACCAAGAGGCTCGCTACGTCAGCTGTTTAATTTCCAACAACGCATGCTCAATGAGCAGGCTAAATTTCGTAACTAAATCTAGAATAAAGTAATGATTGCAACATAAAAATTTATATGAAAAACAAACCAATTCACTTTTCAAAGTTTTTAGTAAATAAAATTGCAAGTGTACACTCTACACACAAAAATGTTTTATTTGTAATTATTAATAAGGTAATGGATATATATGTTAAAACTGTTCAGTTGGGTATTACTAAATATAAAAACAGACGATGAATTATTAGTAATCTTATATCATCATTTCAATCGCTAAAACACACACCAATATTTACTAAAAGTATTATATGATATTTAAGTTGGAGATGAATATAATTATCTTACTTCACGGATCATTTTTTAAAATCAATTAATGCTACCAATCACAAGCCAGAATAGCTCGTAGCTGTGAAGTAATTTTACTCTCTTACCTTTAGCTTCTGTAGATTACACTGCCAGCTTTCCTGACGTTAGCTTTCTTGTATTACAGCTCCGAAATCCCACAGCACCTTAAGCCTCGAACATAACGCAGTTTCCAAAGGACTTACTTAGCCTTTTACGCAGCAGAGTGTTCACGTGCAGGTCGTCCAAGAACCAATCAGCATCGACGTGAACTGTGTGTCCTGGAGACTGCACGTTGATGCTCGCGCTTTTTCAGCCAATCAGGTTTATCAGGAATTTGCCGGTCAATCACGAGCATGTTGGAGAAGTAGGAGCTCACGTAAAAAAACTTATGGACATGCTGTTAGATTTTTTTTCTTTCGTTTATTTCAATATTTGTTAAGGTTTAAAAAGTCTCCGCGATGTTTTCACTTCTGTGATATAAAAATTAAATATTATAGCTCTTGTACCCAAAAATTATATTACAAATAACAAGAATACTTCTCAATTTTATGCTCATTTGTAAGAATGCTATACGTATATATATATATAAAACGTATATTTCGCATTTATTTAGCAGATGTGTTTAATAAACACGAATAATTTTATCAAGCATAGGATCTGGTTGCAAGAGTAGTTTAACGCTGACACCTAGCCAAGAAATTCTGAACTACGTTTTTGTTGACGGAAACACCTTTCTGTAACTTTTAAATCATTCGGGCCTTAAACACCTGTTAATTGAATTTTGTATATTTTATTGAAATTTTGATGTTTTAAATGTTTTTTCAATTACGATCTACAATTATTGCTGGGTAAACGTACCCGGGGTCAATATGACATTACACTTATCATTCGATATTTGTCTGTACATATAACCTTTCCCTTTCATTAAAATAACCTTTGCTCCTGGACGCAACTGGGCTCTTTCGTGACTTAAATTTGTTTTCTGTTTCGGCTGCACGTGGTAACCACCACTGGGATTGAGCATTGACCCTTTCACGTGAAGCTTAATTTTGTTGGTACTTTCAGTTGCTAAGACGTAGTGTCGTTTTCAAATTGTAACGTTGTATTTAAGGTCAAATAATGAACTGTAACAAAAGATCAGGAGTTGATACTGCGTCGTTTCTTTAAAAAAAAATAATTTCTCTTATTTTCTTTTCTTTTTATCTTACCTCTGTTAATAAATTAATAAGAACTGACTTGTCACTGCCAACATATTAAATTTACATGAATTAGGCTTAATGGTGGTTATTTAAGTCTTAACTGAGGTGAACTTTGACTTTTGAACACACGAAGTCATAACTTTTATTTTATTTTTTAACTTTAAGCTTGACGTTTTCTCCTATTGTCATTATGATATGGTAATTGTCAACTAAATAGATTTTCTGCATTTTCAAATTTCGTACAGCTTCCCACTGAGACAACCAGAACTGATGAAAAAATGGAGAGAAAGCGCTCGGACTTTGGGTCTTATTTTAAGGGCCCGGTATGACCAGGTGGTTAGAGCACTCGACTCGCAATCTGAGGGTCGCGGGTTCGAATCCCCGTCCCACCAAATTTCCTCGCCCTTTCAGCCGTGGGGGCGTTATAATGTGACGGTCAATCCCACTATTCGTTGGTAAAAGATTAGCCCAAGAGTTGGCGGTGGGTGGTGGTGACTAGCTGCCTTCCCTCTAGTCTTACACCGCTAAATTAGGAACGGCTAACGCAGATAGCCCTCGTGTAGCTTTGCGCGAAATTCAAAATAAACAAACTGTCTCTTTTATCAAAATGGAGCGTAAATATTCAGAGAGATGGTATCCAACAAAAGTTTTTTTTGTATTTGCTCTGGACATTTTGAAGAATGTTTTGATGGAACAGGTCTAGATATAACTAATTACCAGGGCTGATAAGTATATTAGTATCAGCCTTACACATACTGTGTTCAGCTTTGTGCGAAGGCATCTTGCAAAGACAATTTCCTTCAATATTTACAAAATTTCTAAAATACTTACGAGTCCGCGACGAAACAAGAAGTTTGAAATGAACCTCAGCATTACATACTACACAATGTGACAACGACCCTCGCATAACACATCGTGATATAAAATTGAAATGAGAGAACAACCTGTGCTAGTACTATAATACTGAACATGTGCAAAACATTTTACAAAATTGTCACGACTTAAAGAAATGAAGGTGCGAATCATTCGTAGATTGAAAACACGGAAAACTATTCTGTTTTATGACAAACGAGATGGCGAAGTTTGAAGAAGCTATTCTATAAGTAAAATGTAATTAGGCATAACCTATAAGGAATAGAGAAGCAGTTGGGGGTATTGAAGTTTCTATATTGTTACGTCTCTGCTCGTTTGATAATTTCCGGTAGAAATTCTTTCCGAGAAACTTCAGCGATACAAGTCCTTTCTTAAATAAAATTAGTTTATTCTTTCTCGATACAACTTTGCAATATACTTAATTTCCACAGTCACTTAAACATACGCTATAATTCTCAACGAACGATTCACGCACTTGACTTACTACCGCGCTTGACTCAATTGTCTGTCTATATCTTCAATCTATCTGTCCGCTATTCAATCCCGATTAATTGTCTGGACGCACTTATATA